GTGTGTACCCTATCTGGATACTTGTGAGGGCCTTATAGGTTGGAAGATACCTAAAGGGAAAGAGCTTAAGCCACTAGTGACGCCGAGTGGTTTTTCTAGACCACCACTCGGGACATGGTTCATGGACACTAAAGTTTTCAAGGACTAGAGTGATATTGGCATAGTGATGGCATTGGAACAAATATCACGTTTGGGTGGGATGTTTTAGTGATGGGAACAATGACAAGTACCGATATCGAACGATAATGTTCATTATTATATGTGCAACGTCGGAGTAGTGAACGTAGCAAACCGGGAGCAATGTTACCGGTGAGAGTCACGCCTCACTTACTACATTGGGTCGAGCCGGTCACGTTAGTAGCGAATGAGGTTTTTCCCTCTTGGGTTAGTGATGGACCCAGGGTTAGTGATGGACCCAGTAGGATAGGGTTGGGCCGGTCATTTAGTAGTGAACGGGTTTTGCCTTCAGGTTAGTGATGGACATACGTGCGGGGTGTCTACCTTACGGGTTAGTGATGGACCTATGTGTGGGGAGTCTTCCTTACAGGTTAGTGATGGAACCATGTGTGGGCAATCTTCCTTGCGGGTTAGTGGTGGACCCAGGGATAGGAATAATTATTAGTTATCTAATACTAAAAGATAAATAAAAACGGTAGACCCTAATGATACTCTAATAAAGAAAATGCGATGTATGTGATGTATTTGGTGTGTGGGATGCACGTGATGTATGTGTGGTATGTGATGCATGAGATGTATGTGATGATATGATATGTGTATTTTCCTAACATTGTACTTATAGTTGGCTCACTTAGCATTTGCTGACACTTGTTTCTTTGATTGTGGTTGTTTTACCTAGCATTGGTACATGTAGCATGGTATGATGGCCTGGTGAAGATTTGGGGCTTTTGCGTAGTTATATTCCAAGTGTATGTCTTAGTATTGATACCATTTGGACATGTCGTTGAGTTTTCATAACACTTGTTTTTGATAACTTGTTTTGGATTGGTTTATGAATTATAATTTTGATAAATGTTGCTTTTTGATAATAAAAGTAACATTGGTGATGTTTTCAAGTAATTTAAAATAAGATTTCCACTAACATATTCTATTAAATAAATGTTTTAACAATGAAAAATTTTGGGTGAAAAATCACGATGTTACAAGTTAAGGGTTGGATAAACACACAAATTTACAGTGAAACCCTAAAAAATTCAACAATTTCTATTAAGGTTTTTCTAGTAAATTTGCATTTTTTCTAACCCGCTAACCGGACACCCGCCAAGGGGCATTTCCCTTTGGAACCTCGCAAGGGGGCACAACCTCCTTAACCCCCGCTTTTTTGGTGGCACTGGGATCAATATAGATTAATACTAGTGTGCACTCTGCCCCTCCAACCTTGTATTAAAACTAATATATAATCCACTTTGAACACATATATAAATCCCATTACATAAAATGAACCGGCGACACTAAAATCACCAACAATCCTCCCATTACAAAAGCAGTTAAACACACCAACTCTTGAATGTAAATGAAAATGTCGAACCGATTGAATTTTCATATTAGTATTTTACACATTTCAAATATACAAGAATTAGGGTGTCCTAAGGATTGAACCCGTAACCCATTTGAATATTTCAAGATAAAATACATACATGTTTACAATTCCCAACTAGTCTAAACAACCCAACACTATTATTAAGCCGTGTGTCCTAATCATCCCATGATTGTATAAAGGCCAAGTCCATAACTTTTTGAAGCGCAGCTACACTTCACAATCATATAGGTAATTCCTTTATCTCATGTACCTACAATACACTTTTTCAAAGGAATTATTAAGAAGTTAAACTTCAACCTTACCTATTGTAGTACCAAACACATATCTGGGATGATTCATTATGTGTTCCAATCTACAAGCACGAGCTTTCCACATTGAATTCAGCTTCTAACATAGTATTAGAATGGAATTCGGTGTCTCACCATTATAGAATTAAATGGACTTTTAATCCATCCCGATAACAGACTTGTGCACTAAGTCTCTTGCCAGACTTTTAGTTAAATGATCTGCCAAGTTCTGTTGCGTTCTCACAAACTCAACCGAGACTACACCATTCATGATTAATTCTCTGTTCATGATATGTCGAACACCCAAGTATCTAAACTTTCCATTATACACTTGGTTATATGCCTTAGCCAAAGTGGTAGCACTACCGGCCAAAGGGTGCTGCCCCTTGGAATCAATCTAGATTAATACAAGTGTGTACTCTTCACCTCCAACTTTGTATTAAAACTAAGATATAACCCCCTTTGAAACATGTATAAATCTCATTACATAAAATGAACCGGTGACACTAAATTACCAACAACATATGTCAAGGATACTATAAAAAAAAAGTGGAATCAATGAGCCATAGTCTCATCAATTACGATCATGCAACTGCACTTTGAAAGAGAATTTTAAAGTGGTGGGATATGCACCTTTTAACATGTAATTATATGAAATAGGTCAGTTAGGTCATCGATGATCTGAAGTGAAGACATATACGAGGAAAGCATTGGATTTGGCGATTATTATGTTGGAGTAATCTAAAATTATAAAGGGTAGTTTAGTTACTTTGTTTTTCTTTATTGATAAGGTTAAAGTCATGTGATCAAAGGTTGTATAAACCCGGGAATGGGTTGTTATCTTTTCCTATTTTGTTTGGCAGTTTAGATATAACGCTAGGTAGGATTCGTATTTTCAACTGAAATGTTTTCAAGTTTTTTTCTAATAATAATATTTCATAGTTCTCCATCTATTATGATACCTCTTCCTATATCTTTTATGTTTCATTTTAGTTTAAATTACACAACATAAGGGTTGCACTAGTTGTTTTTGTTTTCAGTTGTGTGTGTAGTGAGTTGTATTGAAGGGGCAATTCCAACACTTGGTATCAGAACAGCCTGGTGATTGCCCAATCATCAACCCCGTGAGAAATAAAGGAGCAACAAAACCAACAAAGATGGTCAGATTACACTTTAGTATCCACTACTATCCAAAAACCAATTACACAACATTGGCTATTAAGGTGGGAATGTCTATGCAGACCCAAGGTGTGTGGGATGTTGTTGATCTGAAGAATCCTCGAGAAGTTGTTGAATCTCGTAAAGACAAGATAATACTTCCCGCTATCTACCAAGGGCTACCTGTAGATATGTCGTTACAGAGAAGGAAACAACAAAAGATTCTTGGGAAACTCTCAAGACAATATATATATATAGGTGTAGACAGAGTTTGGACTGCAAAAGTGCAAACATTAAAGGCTGAATTGGAAGTGTTGAACATGAAGGAGATTGAAATGATAGACGACTTCACCATGAAAGTGAAAAATGTAATGAGCACCATACGAGCCTTAGGTGATAAGGTTGTAGAAGAATATTTTGTCAAGAAATAACGTAGATCTGTCCCAACAAAATTTCAACAAATTGCTTCAATATCGAACAATTTGGAGATTTGGAACTATGACCGTCAAAAAAGTCATTGGGAGATTAAAAACGCATGAAGAAATATTTAAGGGACACGAAATAATGAGTAGCAACAACTCCTTCACATGCATGAAGAATGGCTGGAAAGGTCAAAGCAAAGAGGTGAACAAGGTGATGACTCGAGATCGATGCAAAAGGGTCATGATTCTAATGATAACTCTTCTAGGTAACGAGGAAGAGGTCGTAGATGGGGTGGCAGCAGAGGAGGACATCGAGGAGGTGAAACACACAATTATTATGAAGGTGGACAAGGATCTTTGGGGGGTTGCGATAAGAGTAAGATTAAGTGTTTCAATTGCAATGAATATGATCATTATGCCTACGAATGCCCTGAATCACGAAGAGACAAACACCAAGAGTCTATCTTGGTTCAAGATCATGAATTTATAGATACCATATTTCTATAAAGAAATCAATTGGTAAGGTGAAGCTTGATGAGTTGCAGGTGCAAAGAATTAGCCAACATTCATATTAGGGGTGAATGTTGGAGTAATCTGAAAGTATGAAGGGTAGTTTAGTCACATTTTTTCTTTATTGATAGGGTTAGAGTCATGTGATCATGGGTTGCATAAACCCAAGAATGGGTTGTTATCTATTCATTTTTTGTTGGTCAGTTTAGATATAAAGCTTGGTAGGAGTCGTATTTTCCTGTAATGTTTTCCAGTCCTTTTCTGATAATAAGATTCCATAGTTCTCCATCTGTTATGAAACATTTTCGTGTATCTTTTATGTTTCTTTTATTTAGAATTACACAATATAAGGACTACACTATCTCTTGTTTTTTTAGTTGTGTGTGCAGTGGGTTGTATTGAAAGGGCAATTCCAACATATTGCAGTGATTATGGAGATATAGGCTTGTAGCAACGACTTTATTTTTAACAAGAATAGTTGGAGTTGTAATGTGTATTTTGGATTTATTAGGCTAAGTTCTTTCTCTTAGGTTAGCAACATGTATAAATGTAAATATTGCAATAATATTGATCGGATCCCATCGCTTATGGATACAAATATGTGTAATAATCTGTCATCGCTTATGGATACAGTTAAATGGTATGTATAGATATATAATTTGACCATTATTGTTCAAAAGTATATAAATGTATATTCAGTAATTATTAATTAATCAAAGGGATCCTCTAATCAAATTATAAGTTATTATATTTATGTAAGTATTCTAATGAATGTTAGTTAATTCAAAATAATTAAGATACTTATTTTATTTTTATTTTATTGTAAAAAACAAAAGTTTAAAATGGTTATTGATGTGTAAGAGAGACTAGAGTGCACTAATATGATACAAATTGATGAATTTTTGGCCACACCGTAACAAATAATAATAATAATTAATTATCAGTCATTTTTGTTACTTTTTATTTTAATAAAAATAAAAGAATTATGATTTTAGTAAATTATCTTCTTAGCATATTACTAATAAAATTATAATTTAGGCGACATTCAATTAAAATATCATTAAATATTTTAAGTTTTAACATTTTTTTAATACTCTAATGGAATGTTACATTTTATACTTTTATTACAGTAGAAAATTCACGCATCCAACACAATTGTTCTCCTACTTAATTCACATATGTAATTATCCTCTACCATCACTTTAACCAAAACCAAATATGAAGTAATGAAACACTGTAGAACGTACCCAGGTCAAATGGAAGAGTAGAATCTTTTGAACATGAACCATTACAATGTGTAGGGGCTAATCGGTTGTTTTAACTCTGTATAGTATACTTTACGTATATTTCAATAATTTCCCAAAGCTATGATACCCAAAAATAATTACAAAGATAATCCTATCTCGCAAGAACTTGGCGTGGTGATAAGCCATCTTGAGAGATATCAAAGAACAAATCATCACTCTTGCATAATGCATAGACAATGTCCACCATACTGGGTCTTTTTGTAGGATCCCTATGTAAGCAAGCTATAGCGATCGACATAACATTCATAACACTATCAATTGAACACAATTCTTTCAAAAGTACATCATCCATAAACCCTTTCAAGTTATGTATGTGTTTATCCTCTTTTCCATTGAAATTTTCATGCACTTCTACCCACAAAGCCTTTCCGTCTTCATTGACAGCCTCTCTTCCAGAAATGAGCTCAAGCAAAACAATTCCAAAAGAGAAAACATCCATTTTAGTAGATACGATACCATCAGATAAGTACTCAGGAGCAATGTATCCTTGAGTTCCTACAATATGCATTGTTATAGCATTGCATCCTGATTTAGCTAACCCAAAATTAGCAATCTTGGCTCTCATATTTGCATCCAACAAAATATTGCTACTCTTGACATCCTTGTGCACAACTCGTGGTCTAGTGTGTTCATGGATGTATTGAAGACCATTAGCCACATCAACTGCGATTCCTAGTCTTGTTCTCCAGTTAAGCATGTCTACATTGCTCTCATGCAACCTTGTATGAAGAGATCCGTTTTCAAGATACTCGTAAACTAGATAACAGTTTGCATCTTCAGAGTCTATACAAAATCCCTCCAACATCACCAAATTTCCATGGTTTACCTACACACAAAAACAAAGTAACATAAATTTTTTAGCTACTAAATAATAAATAAATGAAGTTATTTCATCAGTAGATTCTAATTTTCTTTATTTCAATAGAAATATATAACTAGAAATTGACATTTTTTAAACATCATACAGAGAAAGTTGAGAAACTCATAAACTCATATAATTAACATTTAAAAGACATATTTGATATTTATCAAACAACAAAAAGGCATAAAATCAATCAATACATTTTTAAAGCACCATTCAAATGATTTTTGTCGATAAGAAATAGATTATTGAAAAATTGTTAAATACATCATCTGAAATTTAACCAAATAAAAATATATGATCAAAATTAGCATAATAAAGTATTTTGGACTTGGCCATTTGTTTATCCATTTAGCTAAGTTTACCCTAGATACCATTTCCTATTTATAATCTTATTTATCTATATTTGAAATCACTATTTTCTTTCAATAATGAACCCTAACCATTTTATCGTTAATTGTTATCAGTTTACATGGTATCAGAACACAATCCAATCCAATTTTATTTTTATTTTTTTGATTTTCTGATTGCAAATCGATTTGTTAATGTTCATTGAAAGAAAAAATGGTATTGTTCATCGACTCGACAGTATTCATCGAAAAAATTGATTATTGTTCGTCAATGTTCATGTAATTTTCGTCGTATTTCTTCGTTCGTTTGATTACTATTTGTTCTTTTTAATTATGTTTTATATTTGTTTGATGTGGTATTGTTGGTATTTGTTTAAAATCGCGACTAGTGTTTATTTGTTTTGGCTCCTATTATAATAGCTCTATAGGATACATCAGCCCCTAAAGTCGATTTTGGTGAATGTGCTTACTGAAAACAAAAGAACCATTATAAGTCTTGGTGCCAGTTATTAGTCAACAATGCAAAGAAGCACAAAACAGACCATCTGGATGGTTTCAACAATGTAACCCCGGCCTACCAAATTCTATTGTTGTTGCACCTACAGTAGAAAGTAATATTCATGCTACAACCACATCACCCTCTGCCTTGGATCCTCAGGTTTTTGAGCAATTCAGAAAAGTCCTTAGTTATAAACATGCAACCATCTCCACATCGATGTATCATTTAGGTTTGTCCTCATCCAATACTTTAAGTACTCATTCATCCTTATGGATCTTAGATTTTGATGCATCTAATCATATGTCACTTTATTTTTCATCCTTTGTTTCTTTATCTCATGGATCACCCATTTCGTTTATGCCTATCAATGCTACATCTACGTATGTAGAAGGTGTTGCTCTTGTTCTTAAAAATCATATATCACTTACTGATGTCTATTTTATTCTATGCTTGTTATAAACCCTATTTCATTCAATCAGTTGTGTAAATATGGTTATTGGGTTTTCTTTTCTAATTATCTTTGTTGTGTACATGATCTGCGCTCCTAGATAGTGATTAGGATCAGTCTTAATATAGGAGAACTGTATTCCATTGATCAACTCAAAGTTTATGATGTCGTTACTACTAGTATTGATTTGTCTTTTTTCCATTTGAGTCACCCATCTTTTTTTTTAATCTTTAACATCCTCATTTAGGATATGTGATAGTGACACCTTATAGTATCTAATATCTACATGTGTTTTGGTTCATTTGAATCGTTGTCATATTTCTTATTGTATTGGTTGTAAAATGGCCAAATATTCTGCTTTACCATTTAATAAAAGTGTCTCTTGCTCTTTTGCTCATTTTTTTATCTTGTGCATTCTAATATGTATGGGGTTCACCCCTAAATTTTCAAAGGGAGGATCCACCTACTATATTTCGTTTATAGATGATTATACTTATTATACTTTGGTTTATCTGATAAATCGTATGTTTGATTTCTTGACAATCTATAAGAATTTTTGAGCTTTTTTCAAGAAACAACATCCATCTTTTATTAAATGTTTTCAGTGTGACTTGGGGGAAGTATACCTCTAATGATTTCACACGCTTAATTCCATCTGGTGGCTCCATACACCAATTGTCATGTAGAGATACTCCTAAAAAAAAGTGTTGTAGAGAGAAACATATACATCTTGTTGAAACTGCCCACTTTTTGTTACTATCATCTAAGGTTTCTAATGTTTGTCGGGAGAAAAACTCATAACTGTTGTCTATGTGATAAATCAAATCTTTATATCACATAACTCAGGGATGTCTCCATTCGAGAAGCTATATGATGACTTACACTATTATTCCTCATTACGAGTTTTTGGATGTACTTGTTTTGCTCTATGCCGCATGTCGAGAGAAATGAGTTAGTTCCACAATCAACCTTATTTGTTTTATCTGGTATATGGTATTGGTCATAAAGGATATAGCTGCATATCCCATTTTCTCAATTCCAACTCATTCGTCTAACATAACAAAGTCACATATATAGACTAGCGATCCTTTTGATGTTGACAATGATGACACCACATCGAATGACCTAGTCTTTGATGCACCTACAAAATCATACATTGCTCCTGATGCACCTACCTTTTAGACTGTACCTCAACACGTTTGTGACTATGTATTTTCAACCGCCTCGTTAGTCCACTCATACTCGTAATTCTATCAAACTCGTTCTTATAACATAACAAAGTCGCATATACGGACTTCTCATCTTTTAATGATGATACCGCATCTAATGACCCAGTTCGTGATGCACCTACAACATCATACAATGCTCCTGTTACACCTAACATTTTAAACAGTTCCTCAACCTGTTGTGACTATGGATCTTCCATCACATCCAAAGCCCACTAATACTCGTGGGTCTTTCAAATTCCAGAAGTTTGCTTATTCATCTTATTTATATTTGTTGCTTCATTTATAGCCAATATACATAATCCATCAAAACCTGTGTCCAATAGAGAGGTTGTTTTTGATCCTTTTTGGCATAATGTTATGGCTAAGTAACTTAGGGATCTTCACCAGACTTATACATCAGATCTTGTTCTACTCACACTTGGAAAACAAATAATTATATACTTATTAATGTATGGTATGGATTATGAGGATCACTAGGCATCGGTTGCAAATATAAGGACAATTCATACTCTTATAGCAGTTTCGTATATTCTTTAGTGGACGTTTTCCAAATAGATGTCAAGAATGTGATGTTGAATAGTGATTGATCCTTATGAGAAGGTCTATATGAATCCTCTCATAGGTATTACTCGCCAGCCGTGTAAAGTTTGTTACCTTAGGAGAGCTCTTCATTCGGGATATATATATATATATATATATATATATATATATATATATATATATATATATATATATATATATATATATATATGGAAAGGTGATTATATCTTATACTAATATATAAGCTTAGGTACCCAAACTATCATACTACTTTGTTTTCTAACATATTTGTATTGTAATCGTTCAAGGTTCTGACACTTCAACCCCTAACTTGAATTACTTCTTATATTTTTTGGAATTTCACTAGTATCTTCCTCTTACATTATATCTTCCAGTCGAACACCTTCTAGGCTATATTTATTATAATGCAAACGAAAATATAATTAGAAAAAAATAATGGGGAAATTTCAAAAAATCTTAGAAGTAAATCAAGTTATGAGTTGAAGTTTAAACACTTTGGACCATTATATTGCAAATATGATACAAAATGACATAGTATGTTGTTGTTATGTTACCTAAGCTTATATACTACTGTAAGATATATTCATTTTTTACATATATATATATATATATATATATACATATATATATATATATATATATATATATATATAACATTTACTTAGTTTATGACGTTAGAAAACGGCTTATGAGAAAACTTTTAACTTTTTGGGAGAATGGGGATGTCATAGTTTGATCATTGGTACTAACATGAATTGAAGTATTAACATTCACATCTAACTAGTCAAGCTGCCGTTAAAAAAAATATTTATCGAGATAACAGGTAAACCAAAACTAACGTGGTTATTTAATAATATATTGAGAAAAAAGAATCGTGTAGTATTAGAATGAAACTTTTCCAAAAAAAAAATTATTGCATTTGTTTTAAGCCTGAAAAAGCAAGCTAATATTTTTTTGAATTAATCTTGTATATCATTATATATTATTTATTAAAAATGACTAATACATCATTTTTTTTTCTAGAAAAGCCACCAAATCAACAAAATGAGAAAACTTTTAACTTTTTGTAATAGGGAAAATTCAATTCGTACCCCCTCCTCCTCTCCAATTTTCTTTGGTATGTGTGAGTTTAATAGTAATTGTATATCCTCACATTAATTTATGTGAATGAGGGCACATATAGTAGCATGATAATATTGTTTACAAATAAAATGAAAGAATATGTCAAAATATTAAAAGGTATGTTGAATGACAACACATTTCCAGCGAGGACATTTTTTTATATACGACAAAAAGCTTTTTCTAATATTATTTAAAAAGAAAAATAAACCTAATCACACTACGAGAAAAAGACATCGAAATTAGCTAACATACTATTTCTTAAATACTTCAATCCATTGTCTATTACCCTACTTGCATAAAGTTTTTTGTTGGGCTTTCCTATTTATAAATTATGTAAGCAACAAATTACAATATTTAATTCAGAAAACACATCTAATTATAACATTATTAAATACGGTGAATTAATTAATTGTATTGAGTTTTTGACTTTTTGGAGTAACCGTTAGTGGTGTTCAAGTATTAAGAAAATGTCTAATTTTCTATAAAATTTACTAAAAATACTTGAAAATTGTGAGAGTGAGAGTGAGTGCAGGATAGATAAAGTGTTGCACCTTTTGCAAGATCTTGAGTTCTTCATAAGCATTCCATTTCATCTTTTTTATTGCGTAGGGTTTCCCATGAATATAACCTTTAAACACAGACCCTTGGATCACCCATCTATCATCAAACCCATCGGTGGCTTCATTCAACTCTTCCACCCTATACACTTTATACTTATCTAAACAATCTGAAACGTCAGCCATAAGACTCACTCCTGCTTCATTTTTCTTGCTTTCTCCATCATCCTTCTTCCTCCCTACCCTCTTCTTCCATACAGATTCTCTATAAGCTAAAAAAGAACCCATCAAAATCAAGACTAGTCCACAAACACCTAGCCCAACACCCAATCCTATGACTGCTGATGTTCTTTCAGTCGTTCTCTGGCTATTCGATACATTAGTAGGAGCAGGCTGTGTGAGCTCAGGAAGCTTCGAAACAGGCACAAAAACAGTTTCTGTAGGGCGAATTGTTCGGTTGCCATTTACTTCAACTATGGATTCTGTCGTTGACCCAAATCTTGAAGCGATGGAAGATATGTCGTCAGATGGCTGAAACACATATGAAATGAGATAATTGATTTGATTCTGGAGTTGGGTTTTTGTTGGGCACTTGCAGAAGATCGGAAAGATTACATCTTGACCTATGGTGAGGTTTATAGGGACTAAGGTAGGATTGACAAGTTCCACCGACTGGTAGGTTGTAAGGTTGTTAAAAAGTGTTGTCGAAACAAGATAAAAAGTGTCTCCTCCCTTGATGGTGTAGTTGATTTTAGCATATGAGATGTTTGTAGTGGTGTTTACTGAGTTACATGTACAAGTAAGTGGGATAAAGAGGGATTGATTAGGGACAAGAGGTGAAGTTAGAGATGTTATGTTGCTTGGTTTGGCAATCATCGGTCGACTTACAGAAAAGAGATCGCCTATGGAGGCTAAGTCGAGTTGGTTTGGACCCATGGCTGTAAAGAAGGCATAGGTTTGGCAAGAGGATGCAGTTTGGCTAAGGTTGCAAGTATAGCCTGTGGTATTTGAAGGTAGGAATTGGGAAGATGAAATATGGAAGAAGAGGTGAAGGATTAAAAGGAAGCAAATTTGGAGTGTGATTTGCATTTTTTGAGATGTTTTTTGTTTCGGATTGGTGATGGTGTGGTTTTAACTTTTAAAAGAAGGATGGCTTTCAGGTTTTAGGTTGACTATCAAAGTTGGTGGCTGCCACAAAAGAAATTCTTTGTCAATCAAGATGCTAAAGTCGACAAAAATTGATTAGGATGTATCAAATACGAAGGATGCTCAAACGGATAGAAAATCAAAACAACTAAACATGATAATAAACAATAAACGTAAAATAATATCAGAGAAATGGCAACAATTGTTACTTTTATAAAATTTTTTTATCATAAAATTAAAAAAAGAAAAAAAAAGAAAACAGAAAAGAAAAAAGTATAATATGGTACAAATATCTAGTTTTTTTTTCCTAACTTTGAAAACATTCATACGAAATTTGATTGGGATTATTATTTAAGAGCTATATCCATGGATATATAACACTTCAAATTTGGATTACAGAAAGACATTTTGTTCTCGATGGCGGGTTAAAAAACGGGAAGCAACCGTACCGCCGGTATGCCATTCCTTGCTCTTTTGGTTTCAGCGGGTTAAGTTGCTAAATGTATTCCAACGGTTCGGTGAACACAATATATTAGCATTTGAATTGTTTTAAAGTTTGTGTCCTGTATGATTCCTTTATTATTTTGTTTTCATTGGAACATGTGAATTGATTTAAGTGTCTTTTGCCAAAACATATGCATGCAAATTTATTGATTCAACTGCATTTAATTCTTTTATCCGTCTACTTTTTTATTCTTTTTTTTTTCTTTTATATATATATATATATATATATATATATATATATATATATATATATTATATATATATATATATATATTTTGTTAGAATTCTAAGTCGAGTAAGACTTGGAGAATAAGCAAAAGCAACCTAGTTTTAGGAAAATATGTTGAAGTCGGTTCCTAGTTTCCTAATTGTGATCTAATTACAAGTCGGTAGATTAGAATATATATATATATATATATATATATATATATATATATATATATATATACACACACACACATCTTGTTTAGCCGTGTAGGGTAAACGAGATTATATTCACAAATTGAGTTTTGAGTTATTTTCTCATTTAATCAAAGAGATAGATTGATTAATTGTTTGTGTTATACTTTCTGGATTTTAATTGGTATCAGAGCCAAGGACATAGTGCTTTGAGATCGATTTACTTACTTGTTGAACAAGGTGGTCGACATGGCAGGAGATGAATGGTCTTCAGGCGGTGCTCCGGTAAGGGAGAAGGAGATTGGAGCGACCTCAGTTCAATGTCTCATGCTCAATTCCACAAATTGCACAGTTTGGTCCCTGCGTATGAAGGTTGTTTTAAGAATTCATAAAGCATGGAGTATTATCGACTTAGGAATAGAGAAAAACGATGAGAAGGATTACCTGGAAATGGGATTATTGTATCAGGCGATCCCAATCATGCAAATCGGAGAAGTCGAGTCTTCGAAGGCTCTTTGGGATGCAATCAAGGCTCATCACGTTGGGGCCGACCGGGTCAAGGAAGCAAGATTACAAACCCTAACCTCCGAATTTGACAGAATGAAGATGACGGAATCAGAATCGATCGATAGCTTTGTCGGAAAGCTGTCCAGAATTGCGTCTCAATCAGCAGCACTTGGTGAAACGATTGAGGAATCAAAGATGGTTAAGAAATTTCTTAAATCCTTACCGAGAAAGTACATCCATATTGACACCTCTTTGGAAAATGTGTTGGATTTGAAAACCGTTGGATTTGAAGATGTAGTAGGGCAGTTAAAAGCATATGAGGAACGAATTAGGGAGGACGAGATCTGTGGTGGGGATCGGACGAAGGTCCTGTTCCTCGACCATGGTGGAAGTTCGAATCGGAAGAATCACAGAGGGACGAAGGGCAAATGGAAAGGAGCTAGTGGATCGGGTGGGTATAATCAAAGAGACGGATCCGGATCTGGGTCAGGTGGATCAAATGGTTCAAATGGGCCCAAATCCAATCGCAACCCACACGGAAATAAATCCAATAATTCAATACAAGCCCAAGGTGGGAAGTCCAATTCTAATTCTGATCCGAACCGCAAACCAAAAAAAGACCGCTCCAAAATTATTTGTTACCGGTGTGATAAAGAGGGCCATTACGCGTCTCGATGTCCGGACCGAATTAAAAAATTACAAGAAAGTAATTTTGCTGAATATGATAATATCGACGAGACCGTATTTTTACACGAGACCATATTTTTAAACGAGGAAAATGTGATACATTCTCGTTACGACTCACAAGATAACAACGTGTGGTATTTGGATAACGGGGCGAACAATCACATGACGTGAAACCGGTCATTTTTCTCCAAGCTTGATGAAGGTATAACCGGGAGGGTTAAATTCGGAGATAATTAGTGTGTAAAAATCAAGGGAAAAGGTGCTGTACTTTTCCAAGGCAAAAGGGGTCAACAAAGGCTGATGATAGAGATTTACTACATACCGGATCTCAAGAACAATATTATTAGTCTCGGACAAGCAACCAAAGATGGGTGTGATATTCGAATGAAAGACAACTACTTGACCATGCACGATGCCGATAATTGTTTATTAATGAAAGTACAAAGAACTCCAAACCACCTTTATAAAATAAAATTACAAATTGGAGTTCCTATTTGCCATCATTCGAGACTAAGTGAAGATACGTGGCGATGGCATGCAAGACTTGGGCACATCAATTTCGAGACAATGAAAAGGATGTCCAAGAAAGGTTTAGTCAAAGGGTTACCCAAATTTGATCATGAGAATCAATTGTGTGAGTCTTGCTTGGTGGGCAAGACTATAACAACATACAAAGCAAAACGACCATTGGAACTAGTTCACGGTGATTTATGCGGTCCGATCACGCCGACAACCAAGGGTCAAAATCGGTATATTTTTACACTAATTGATGATTTTTCACGATTTATGTGGATTTATCTCATGAAAGAAAAGAGTGATGCGTTTACACACTTCAAAAAATTCAAAGCTTTGGTGGAGAATGAAATTGGAAAGCCTTTGAAAGTGTTTAGAAGTGATCGAGGAGGTCAGTTTACTTCTCTTGAGTTTAGTTCTTTTTGTGATCAAAACGGAGTCAAACGCCACCTTACCGCCCCATACGCTCCACAACAAAACGGAATTGTGGAACGAAGAAACCGAACACTTATGGACATGACAAGAAGTATAATGAAGGCAATGCATGTTCCAAACTACTTATGGTGAGAAGCGGTAAATCACTCTACAAAACTAATTAATTGTGTTTACACAAGAGTCCTTGGTGATACAACTCCATACGAAAAGTTGTATAAAAGAAACCGAATTTAGAAAATGTTCGTGTAACGACCCAAATTTTTCCAAAGAAAATTTTCATTTTTAATTAACCAAACACATTTCCAAAAATCCAGAATTTCCAAAATAATTGTTTTAAATCCATATTCATTACAACTTTATTTTCAAATATCAGAGTGTCCCACAAAGTCGTCTGAGAGAGAGTACACGCCGTGCCATCAAGCTTTGCCCTTGCCCTTGGACTCAGATGAACCTGAAACAAATCCACAAACTGTAAGTGAATGCTTCGTTAGTCCCCCAGAGCATATCCCACACACAAACCACATAACACATATCGAAATAGTCATACGTTACATATATCCCATAAGTCATGCATTCGATAATTAAGGAAGCCCTGGAAACCCTCCCAGGTCTAATACCAAATGCCACGGGAACCCCCACGTGGTCTTTGTATGCCATGGGAATCCCCTCATGGTCTTCCTGCCTTGGGAACCCCCACAAGGTCTTCCTGCCTTGGGAACCCCCACAAGGTCTTCCTACCAAACAAGACATAATGCAAACTATACAAGCAAATATTTTAGGATGCCATGGAAACCCTCCAAGATCCTATACCAAAAGCCACGGGGACCCCCACGTGGTCTTCCATGCAAATAACATACTATCATATCGCACATTCAATCAATAACCGTATCTCATAAAATGGGCCGGCCTTGGTGCCTTAGACCCATTGATATGGTGAGAAGACTCACCTCTCACAGGCTGAACTGGCAAACTGTAGTCAGCTATATCCCACGCTCCTCCTCCCAAACTGCCTATAATCAATGAGTAAATAACTCAACATAATCCCATAAATACCCCCAGGTTCAACCCTGGTCAAACTCAAGGTCTATAGTCAAGGTCAACAGTCCATATTCACCTTGACTCGTCGAGTACAATCAGTCACTCGTCGGGTTCCCTGCTTCACTCACCGACTCGCTGAGTCACCCGAGGGACTCGTCAAGTTCCTTGATGTTCACGGCCGTAAACCACCAACCGTACACCCCTGACCGTGAACCCTTGGCCGTGAACCCTTGGTCGTGAACCCTTGACCGTAAACCCTTGGCCGTAAACCCTTGGCCGTGAACCCTCTCGACTCGCCGAGTCACCAGAGGGACTCGACGAGTTCTCACGTATTCGGTTCTTTTCAGTGGGATTTAAGGTTTCAAACTTCAGATCCATACTCTCCTAGTGAAGATATCACGTAAAGTTGCAAACTTTACGTGCATGCGTAGCCTCACATGGCCATAACACCAAAACTAACCTTCAAACAAGGTTCTTATGCATGGAGAGGGAATGAGCTTAATAAAAGATGCAACTTTATTATATTTGGGGCCTAAGAAGGTCCAGATCTAGAACCATATCCTTGTGATAGTTCCAGATATAAGCTTACTTCCATTTCCTCAAAGTTGGTTACAACTCTCAAATTGAATTTACGCTTAAGGTAACAGATTCATACCTCAAATTAATGCCCAAGACGAACTAGATGCTAGATCTAGTGTTTTCCCCTTGATACTTCTTCTTCAAGTATGGAATTCCTTCCACAACCCCAAGATTTAAGCTCCCAAAGCTCTATCTTCACACACCCAAGTGTTTGTGGCTGTAAACGATCTCTTATGATGATAAGGGAGGCTACAAAGGCGTATAATGTTGTTTATATAGGGGGCAAACCCCAAAATTTAGGGTTTTCTGTAAACAGCTCGGACTCGCCGAGTCGACCCTTCGACTAGCCGAGTCGGTCCCGATCCG